TGGAGCATAGGAGGTTCCATGTGAACATGAGGAAAAACATTTTTACTGTGAGGGTTATGGAGCACTGAACAGGCTGCCCAGAGAGGTTGTGGAGTCTCCTTCTCTGGAGACATTCAAAACCCGCCTGGACGCGTTCCTGTGTGACCTGGTCTAGGTGATCCTGCTCTGGCAGGGGGCTTGGACTGGATGAGCTTTTGAGGTCCCTTCCAACTCCTAACATTCTGTGATTCTGTGATTCTCTGCCCCATCACTCTAGGGTAGGTATGAGCAAGTGGCTGTGAGATGCTTATGTGATGACCAAGGTCAACCACCACAGAAGAGAATAAGATTATGAAATTAGCAGAAAACACAAAGTTTGGAGACATTAAAATTGTGCTTGGATACAATTTATGTCTCCATGGTAGTTGGAGATACATTACATGGTTTCTTTCAGCACGATGACATCTCCTTTGTTAAATGAAGAAGTAAGATTTTAATGACATGAAGAATTAAACTTTAAACTAGACTCAAAGGGGGATGGGGTTAAAACTGGGCTTGCTAGCGAGGAGCCTGGGAGTGGCATGCCAGAACCTGTGGGACAGTGTGGTAGTAAGGTCTTAAAGTCAGCTGTCTCAGTGGAGGTGGGTGATTGTGATCCATGTGGCAGCAAAAACACAAGAGTTGATGGGCTGGTAACTGTGGAAGCATCTGAGAATGGTCTGGTGGGAATTAGGGCTCCTCCCTCCAAAAAGGTGGCAGGATCATTAGCCCAGCTGAAGGGCATCTGTACCAATGCACGCAGCATGGGCAACAAGCAGGAGGAACAGGAGACCATTGTGCAGTGAGTAAACTACAATATAGTTGCCATCATGGAAACATGGTTGGATGACTCATGTGACTGGAGTGCTGCAGTCAACAACTACCGACTTTTCAGAAGGTACAGGCAAGGAATGAGAGGCAATGGAGTGGCCCTCTATGTCAGGGAGAGATATGTATGTCTAATACTGAATGATGGTGATGATAAGGTTGTGTGTCTAAGGGTAAGAATCAAGGGGAAGGCCAACAAGGCAGACATTGTGGTGGGAGTTTGTTACAGACTGCCCAATCAGGAAGATGAGGCTGATTAAATACTCTACAAGCACTACCTTGTTTTCATGGGGTACTTCAACTTCCCAGATGTGTGCTGGGAATACAATACAGCAGAGAGGGAACAGTCCCAAATGTTCTTGGAGTGTGTGGAAGATGCTTGTTAACAGAGAAGGACTTGTAGGAGATGTAATGGTTGGAGGCTGTCTTGGACATAGTGATCATGAAATGATAGAGTTTTTGATTCTCAGAGAAGTCAGAAGAGGGGTTAGCAGAGCTACCACCTTGGACTTTCATGGAGCAGACTTTGGCTTGTTCAGAAGACTGATTGGCAGAGTCCCTTAGGAGGCTGTCCTGAAGGGCAAAGGAGTCCAGGAAAGCTAGGCACTTTTCAAGAAGGAAGGTGCAGGAAGAGCCATCCCTACATCCCAAAAGACAGGGCAGTGAGGTAGAAGACCAGCCTGGCTGAACTGAGAGCTTTGCTTGGAACTCAGACATAAAAGGAGAGTTTATGGCCTTTGGAAAAGGGGACAGATCACTCAGAAGGACTACTAGTGAATCTATGCAGGGAGAAAATTAGAAGGGCCAAAGCCCAACTGGGACTCAATCTGGCTATTGCTGTAAAGGACAATAAAAAATTGGAGTGGCTGGAGAGCTGACTGGCAGAAAAAGACCTGGGATTGACAGCCGACTGAACATGAGCCAGCAGTGTACCCAGGTGGCCAAGAAAGCCAACAGCATCCTGGCCTTTATCAGAAATAGCGTGGGCAGCAGGAGCAGGGAAGTGATGTACTCCTGTACTCAGCGCTGGTGAGACCACGCCCTGAATATTGTGTTCAGTTTTGGGCTCCACAGTACAAGGAAGACATTGAGGTGCTGGAGAAGGGTCTAAGGAAGGGCTGCAAAGATGGTGGAGGGTCTTTAGAATAAGTCTTATAAGGAGCGGCTGAGGTAATTGGGGTTGTGTAATCTGAAGATAAGGAGGCTGAGGGGAGACCTTATCGCCCTCTGCAACTACCTGAAAGGAGGCTGTAACAAGGTGGATGTGGGTCTCTTCTCACAGATTACAACTGATAGGACAAGAGGAAATGGTGTCAAGTTATGCCAGGGGATGTTTAGGTTAGATATTAGGAAATGTCCCTACAGTGAAAGGGTTATCAAAGAGTGGCACAGGCTGCTCAGGGCAGTAGTGGAGTCACTGTCCTTGGGTGTAGTTAAAAGCTGTCTAGGTACAGTGCTCATGGACATGGTTTAGAAGTGGGCATGGGGTAGAGATAGTTAAGGGTTGGACTTGATATTAAAGGTCTTTTCCTACCATAACAGTTCTGTGATTCTGTGATCCTATGATTATGTCTTCTTCCTCTGCTATCCTAGGCTGTAAAGAGTTGTCTTAGTTAAGTTAGTCTCAGCTGTGTTGTCTGCTTTTGCTGCGGATGAAGAGCATATGCAGATGATGACAGTGCTCAGCCGACATCTGATGACTTTGGCTCACTGCCTCCCTGCATTTGCCCTATGCTATGAGATATCCCAGATATTTGAGGGGTCTCATAGGAGAAGAATAATCCACCAGCACTGCAGGCTGGATTCACAGTCAAAATTGACATAGCTCTCCTGATGTGGCTGGATGAGAAGCTGACTCATTATCTTTAACATTTCCCACCTGCCTTGTGGACTAACAAACCAGAGCACTGCAGAAATGCAGTGTTTCTGAAGTATGGTTTTGCTCATGTAACTTCGGGGGATCTTTCATTCAGCATGGGTTTTATAACTGTTAGTTGCAGTTATGGCAATTTCCTTTGCAGATTAAGGAAAGATACCATAACATAAATGACTGATGGGGAGTCACTGCTGTGTTGTGACAGGCTATCCTCTAAGAAGTAGTGATTGATGACATGCATAAAACTGAGACATTATATGTGCTGTTTATATTGAAACAGTACTTAAAATGTGGGCTGTCAGTCAAAGCACTGATTACTTATGCGGTGCTATAATTAGTGGTAGTGGGTGGAAAGAACAAGGTACCGGAGTAAATGTTTGTTTCAGAGCATCAAACAGCATTGTCTCTTTATTTTAGCCATAATAAAAGGATCTATCCTATGCATTGCCTAAAGCATGAGACTTCTCTGTGGGCTGCCAGGAGCTCTTTGATACTGACATCAGTATTAAAACCGGTTTCTGAAACAGGGTGATGACTTTTTCTTTTCCCCCCTTGAGCACAGTTAGAGCAGACCTGCATGCTCTGTGGCAGCATTTTGCATGGCTGCAAAAGCCTCCAAAGGCCTTGCCTGCAGATGCCCACTTCTCTGTGCTTTGCAGAGGGTTTGAGGACACCTCTCAATAGGTTTCACTGAGTGCTGTGGATGTGATGTGAAGACACAGGACCTGGTCATGGTGGATATAAACTCAGCCTAATTCCTGGCTGGCCAGCAAGTCCTGGGACGTGGCGCTGGCAGTGCCTCTGTCTGCAACTGTGGTCTGGAGGTGATGACATGAGCTCTCTTCAGAGTCACTCTGGAGATGAGTGAAGGGGAAGCTGCCCAGCTGTGCACCAGTGTTTCTGCACCGCATGAAACGTTGCAGGTGGGCTAGGGAAGGAGATGAGCCCACCTTCTTTTCCCTGCTGCCTCCCCTGCTAACAGACTTGCAGGTCAGAGCGAGCACAAGGAGCAAGCATCTGTGCACTGCTGCCAAGCACAGGTGTGCTGCATGGCCTGACATGAGCTTGTTCTGAATGACAGAGAGGCAGTGGACACTTCACCTGGTGCCATACCACTTTGTGGTGTGTATGTTGGGTGGGAAACACCTGGGGAGTGCTACCATGGCATTGCTGAAAGGCCACCAAAATGTATAGGTTTTGCAGTGAGAACAAAAAGGAACTTGTTTTTTTCCCCTCTTCTGCTTATTAAGTGGAAGAGAGAAAAAAGAATGTTCCATTCACGTTTTTCCTTCTTTGCGTTTGTTGTTCATTTTCTAAAACCATAAAGTTTTGCCACATTCATAATGACAGTTCCACCAATGTGCTTGTGAGCTGCATCCTTGCACAGACAGATCGTTTGCATATGCCAAGAAAACAGTCCTTAAGTACGCACATCACTTACATGTAAAAAACTTTTCCCTTTTATGCTTATCTTATGATCAGCATGAAAATCAGCTGTCAGTAAAACAACCGTGGTGTTTTCACAATCTGAATATTGTGGTTTGGTATGTGAGTGATTGCAAGGACCTTTGTCAATGTCCTTACAGAGCAATATAAAGTTGTTTCTAGAATTTGATTTTTCTACACAATGAAAAGAAATGGTCACAATTGTACTTCCAGTGTCAAGATACAGCCTGATTATGTAGAGAGACTGTATAATCATGGTTTTTTTTCCATATCTTCTGACATGAACATATTATTTCCTTTTGTACATTCGGAAATTACACATTGTTCTGTGGTAGTTTTACCTGCCAACTCCTTTGTTCGGATGTGCGGCATTATATTGTACTGTACATTTCTGTCTGTATTTATTTAGCTCTTTAAAAATGTGTCTGATTAAAGATAATTTTTACTGTCAAAAATATAATGCTTTAATTACTTTTTGTAGAAAAAAAATTGGAACCAGTACAACCTCTGGTTTCACAAGTGAAGCAATTCAGAATGGGCTTATTACACAGATTGAGCCCTGCACACAGCACTGGGATCCACCAAAAAAACCTTCTACTTTATATTTGTTCTAAAAAGCAGACTGCTTCTAATCCCACTGTTTTCCACAAACCTCCATGCACAAAAGTGTGCCCCAGTGTCATGAGGAGCTCACTTTGGTTTTGTGCCATACTCTAGTGCATGATTTGTGAAACTGAAGTTGGCTTTTCAGTCATGTGACAGGTATGTAATGATGTTTTCCAGTGCTCTTTGTGAAATTGATTTTAATTTTTTCCTTTTCTTTTTCCTTAAGGAAACTTGTTTTGGGGAAGAGCATGTCACACAAACTCACTGCTTCGACTTTCTTTTGTCTTTCCCCTTCTCCCTCTTCCAGACCAGGATGAGAGAGCAGCGGAGCTCAGCAGGGAGCAGAATGAGAAGACCATTCGCAGCACACAGACGGCTCTCCGCAACTTCCGAGAATTCCTCATCTCCAAGTATCCTTCTGAGACTCGGGAGATCTACGTCATCCCCTGCAAAGAGCTTGATGCCTACCTTGCTTCCTTCTTTGTGGACGCCAGACAAAAGGATGGGTCTGAATACGAGCCAAACAGTCTGGCCAACTATCAATGTGGGCTGGAGCGGTATCTTAAGGAGCACAGGTATGGATACAGCATTACCAGGGATAAGGAGTTCAAGAGATCCCAGGAAGCTCTAAAGCAAAAGCAGATAGAGTTGAGGTGTAAAGGAAAAGGAAACAAGCCACACAAATCCATGAAGCTCACCTTTGCTGATGAGCTTATCCTACGCAAAAGAGGCTTACTGAGCCGGTACAACCTTTGTCTGGCTGAACAACACTAAGGCGTTTGGACACTGCACGGGTTTCCATGGGTCCACCCTCAAGTGGGGAGACATCCGGCTGCGGGTGACAGAGACCGGGTTGGAGTACCTGGAGTGGATGGGGCCAGACAACGGGGACGTCAATGCCAAGAGCAAGAGAGGTGGGACGGACTCACGGGTGTACGCCACCCAGCACTCCCCGCAGACCTGCCCTGTGCAAGACTACAAGGAGTATGCCCAGCGGCGGCCCCCAGCCATGCGCTACGAGGACGCGCCTTTTTACCTGTCCATCAAACCCGTCGTCAACTTGGCTGCGCTTCACTGGTACAATTGCCAAGCCCTGGGGAAAAACAAACTTGCCAAGATGGTAAAGACGATGTGCGAGAAAGGCAACATCCCTGGCAGGAAGACCAACTT